TCTTTTATACATCGTTTTAGATTTAATTATAGTATTTGAATAGAACATGTGGCGCAACGATTAGATAATTCTTGAAATGATATAAATTTATATGCATTCTGAGTTATAATATGGACGAAATGTAACGCTGTTAAGTGAACCTAGCGCCAGAGTGTCGCTATGGTAAACAAATATAGTGAATTTTAAAAAGTGCATTTATTCTATTGTAGTTTATGCGCTATCGACTATGTAGATTTAATTCAATCTAATAAGTTTAAATGAAATGCAAGAAAAAATGCATATAATTTAATATTCCATGCAAGGAAGTCATGTAGTGTACACATCAGTTTTTTTTTTTTTTTTTTTTTTTTTTGGTAGTTATAGAATTGGTACCGGAATTTGTAATATGGAGATATATTTAGCATCGTTTCCCATTCCTATACCTGGAGACTTTAAAAATGCTAAACTTATAGAAATCGAGCTTCTATTAAGAACTCGTGTTCTCTGTCCGTAGTTATCTTGTATAAGAAAGACATTGTTAGAGTCTTTGTTTAGCTCACTAATATTTCAGCAAAATACATATGTCTTCAGGGTGTGAATTTAGTTTCATTTTTATCACCTGGTTTGCTTTAGTATATTTAATTAAGGGAAAGCACTCAAGAGATGTCTTCGTGGATGACATTTAAAGGAAGCTAGCTCAGGAGCTACACAATGGGAAAACCTCGAAAACGGGCCTTCAGCAGGCCCGTTCACAGGCATTCGACCCCAGGATCGAACTATCAAATTTCAGTGACTATTTGGGTACTAGGCGCTATTTGGGTTTATCGTTAATTCATTTGGAGTATACTGATATATTTTAGGACGAATTTAAGATTATTTATTATTGATGTATTTAGAAAATTTTCATATTATTAGGATATTTTAATATAATTTACAATTATAATTATTAATTTTTATATTATTACCATATTTTTATATTTAAGTATATTTTTATATAGGACATTTTTTAAATTATTGTATTTTAGGATATTTTTTAGTCCAAAGGGGCAATTTGCCCAGAAGAACTATTAATTTCGTTTTGGCATTTTGCGTCAATTCACGATAAGCGTTGTTTCACTTTTCAAATTGGTACCATTCAATGTTATCGCCCTGTGTTATATTTAAAGAAATTAAATGATGAAGAATCTGCATAAATGTATGTATGTTTCTCGCATTGTGATAAAACAACGGTAGCTAGAGCCATCCAAATTTGAATAACGTAATCTTCCATAGAATATGGGCATGTGGAAGCCCTAATTTGAATTTGAAATTAGTTTTCTTATCGACTTCATATTTTGTAACACTTCAACGAATTTTTGATTAAAAAGAAAGAACGATTTCAAAGCGAGCCATGGGAACACTATGCGGAAAAAAATTTTTTTTTTCCTCCAGCGCGCGGGTCTCTGTATCGGAAAATCTAAAGATAGGCTCATTTTAAAATTATTTTGCGATGTTGTTGTTGAACTGAATTTTATGGATTGAGTACGTAAAACATGATATTTAATAAACAAAGGTAACACACAAAACGTTAGAAAAACGGCCCTTCGGACGTAATTTAAATCTGAAATATTCGAAATTTTTTAATTTCGCATTACACTGTTTAGTCTTGGAATAAAAAGTGATAATTTCGTTTCTCCCATTACGAAGATTTTTCGGTAATATCTTTAGTGATATGTTTCACTGCTGAGTGTTCGGTACGTGTTGCTTTGAAGACTTTACTAAAAGCAAAATGATTTTTGCCATCAGACTATTCATTCAGTAAATGTTATAATAAATAGGAGAACACAAAAGTATTCAAGGGTAAAACATTTTTAATTTGCAGTATGAAATTTATTACATTAATTAATATTTACAAGCGGAACAGAAAATTATAATTATTTCCTGTTAAATCCAAGTAAAAATTTCTCAGTGATAAGAATTAGATCGAAAACATTATTTAAAAATGAATTACGTTTGGAATATATTTGTAGCAGGTAAATTCTGCTAAACCAGACTTGCTAAGTCACTAACAAAGTCTTAAATACTTTGTTATCAAGTTCAAGAAAGTAATGAAAGTCATTCATTACAATCTTTTGAGTCCAAACTGTTATGTTCACATTTTCTTCACCGGTTAATGAGTTTTGAAGCGTAAAGATCTCATTGATGTAAGACGGAATATTAATAATTAATCTCCTTCAGTATTTTCCAAAGAACGATCGAATCGAAAATATTTTAACTTAATGAGTTTTAAAGTGCCGGCGTGTATTCTTGATCTGATAAAGCACTCTTCCCAAAATACCTCGTTTAGAATGGAAAATAGAACAGAACATTAATAACGAAAATTGCGACTTTTTGCCTTTAATTTAACCTTTATTGGCATATTCGACTTTCGTTTGGCATTTGGTTGGAGGAACGATTAAGAACTTTTTGAGCTAATTCCGTTCTTTGTTTTTCGAAATTAATTCCAAAGAAAGGCTGTTACTGAATATTTAAATTAAAATAAGAAATTATAGATTTACTGCCTGATACGAAAGTCGAACGTTTTGACAAAAAACATTAATTTTATGTAACAGCAAACATTTAAATAAGCTCAGGTGCATGAGCTATAGCGAAGTAGGAGTATGTTTGCGAATGATAAAAAAAAATCCGCTTCTTTCTTTGAAACTGGAAACATAAAAGAATTCCAAATATTTTAAACAGCTACATATTATTATTTATTAAATGTGCATGATGCAGAATACTTTACATTTTGAATGACATCGTAATAGATACCCTCTTATCAATCGTTTAAATTTGGTTAAGAAAAGCACATTAACAAAATTAAATAAAGTTTATTCTTCTCGAAGATTTTGTGTCACACCATTTTCACGTTTTTCTTTTAAAAAATTTTTCCTGAATGCGTTTCCTCAACAAAATCGTCCTCAGGGCCATTATTACTAGTAGTAGTAGTAGTCAGTAGTAGTCTTTGTTCGTCGTCGTGTTAGTAGTAGTAGTAGTAATAGTAGTTTTTGTCGAACCGAAATCGAAGGTTTTGTGTCACATCATTTTCACAATAAGCATTGTTTCACTTCTCAAATTGTTACCGCTAAATATTATCGCCCTGTGTCATATTTATAGAAATTAAATAACGAAGAATTTTCACAAATGTATGTATTCTTGTCGCACTGTGATAGAACAACGGTATCTAGAACCATCCAATTTTGAATAACGTACGTTTCCACTCGAAAATGAGCGTCTGGAAGCCCAAATTTGGAATTTATTTTTTATTGATTTCATATTTTGTAACACTTCAACGAATTTTTGGTTAACAAACTCCACGATTTCAAAGCAAACAATGTTCGAAAAAGGAAACATTTTTATCTCCAGCGCGCGAGACTATGTGTCGGAAATTCTAAAGATAGGCTCATTTTAAAATTATTTTGCGATATTACTGTTGAACTGAATTTTATGGTTTAAGTGCAAAGCACGTTTAAGAAATAAAGGTAACACACAAAAGGTTAAAAAAAAAAGTCCCTTTGGGCGTAATGTAAAATCTGAAAACTTTCAGATTTTTTTATATTTAATTTTTAGTTATTGTTAGTATTATTATGAGTAGTAGTAGTATCATAAGAGTAGTAGCTAGTGGTAGTAGTAGTGCCAGGACTACTGTTCCTTTTACTTGCCTTTGGAAACATCTGCAAATCCTGAATGGAAACAGGAAGCTTAGTGAAACTTTAAAGTTTACGGCATTAACTACAAATGCAGTTAATGCCGTAAACTTTAAAGTAAAATGTAATTACTACTACTCATAATACAACTAGTAATTACTACTACTCATAATAATACTAACATAAATATCATTTATTTTAAAAACTTATGAATCCTTTTATTTAAATTACTTTACTTCGATTGTTCCGGGTAAAATCCTGGAAATTTACCTTTGGTAAATAAAATTTTAACAGAATTTTAATGAAACATCCTTTCTTGCTGATATTAAACTTCTATTGAATTTTTCATAAACGCTCATCTGAAAGAATAGAAATAAAGTTTAAAACTGTTCTGCGACTGTTTGCATTTAATAGAAAAAAATTTAAATAACGGTAATAAAAAATAAAGGGATTATTTGTAATATAAATTTTACATTTTAATGAAAGAGATTTTTCAGCCTTGTGCTTACTGTTTGTTAAAGTTTCGTATTTGTTTTAGTTTGCATTTTATAATTACCGATTCATAACTTTTATCTAAAACTATCCCCAAAGGAATATTTTGCCCTTTTTAGCTTAAAATATACACGATTATGGAATTGTAATCAAAGGAATATTTTTCAGTATGATAAGCTACTGCAGTTAATTTCGTTCGAAATAGGAAAATTAAAGATATCTAAACTAAAAGATCTACGTATGGAAGATTTTATTTGTTTTATCTCATCGTTCAATATTTAAAGCGATTCTTTGCCTTTAAACACATTCGCGTGATAGGAATAATTTTTATTTATTGCGTATTAGAAGCTATTAAATTTTTTAGAGATTGGAAATTACGTCTCGTTTCTGACAAATAATCAGTGCCCATAATTCCTCCGTAACTTTGCTAAAATCTTAATGAGCTCGATCATTCGCCTTTAGTTATGTTTCCCTTGCCATTACTAAAAGGTATTTTTTCGCAAACAGCCTCCATTAACTTTCTGTATTATGCAATCCAAATGACATTAGGGCAAATTTTTAAAAATGGCACCATGTCGATCTTTTTTAATAGCGCGGAAAACCAAAACAGAAATCTGACTAAAAAAGAAAGAAAAGAAAAAAAAAGAAATCTGAATAGGTCTTTTCCATTCCTTTCACCTTTTCCCCGATCGCGAACTACATTTCGCGGCAAGCGGTGTTCTGACTCCAGCGCACTTTGGACCGACACGTTGCAAAGAGGATGAATGCGGAGGGATACAACGAGTATCGATTTTCCCCCAACTTCCCCACTCCACGAGCGCGAACAATCCCTATCCACAGCAGCCAAAGAGACTCAGGAGCCGTTGGGAGAAGACGCCTCTACAGGGGCTCGTGCGGATTCTGCTACCGCCACCAATATGTCGTGAGTCGTTCAGTGAGCACGCTTTGGAATGGCTTCATAAGATGGCGCGTGAGTGAGGTGAGTAACATTCTTCTAAATGTGGCGTCGTTACTCGAAAACACTTCATTGACATTTGAGAACGAAATGGCTCACATGCACGAGACGGTTCCGCTCATTTCCATGAATGGAAAGACTTTTGTCACGGTAACGAGTTTAAGAGCTGTTATCGCCATCAAATTAGAGCCATTAATGCATATAACATTTGGTGAAGGTTTTATGACTATCACGGGGATTGGTAAAACATGAGCATTTTTTCCGTTTTCTTCACTCTAAACGTTTGCCGTAGGTTAGAGCATTTTAATTACGATACGACAGATACACGCTGATATATTTCGTCTTTTTTAATTTTTTTTTTCACTTTCACTGTTTATTTGCATTGTAATTTTTTCATTTGATTCCAAACATATTTAAATTCGTGACTGAGAAATAAAAATTTATGTTATTTAGTAAATTAAGCTTTTCTTGAAACAAGTTAATTTTTTAAATTTCCTTTAATTTGGCAGTAGTTCTAAAATCATGGGGAAATATGCAAATTCTGTTTGTTTCCAATTAAAAATAGAAGAAATATCTTAAGAAAAATTAACACATAGTTCATGTTTAAGTTAACTCCTACACCTTAAAACCATAAGGTGACTGTTGCAAGAATTGGGATAACTTATTTATTTTAAAAGCAATTAAAACACCTTTTTACAGCTCACTACGTAATATAGCTGCATTCTGAAATGGCAATCAGAAAGTTTGTGTTGCCACAAATATTTTTATAAATTAATCCGCTTTGTGACAAAATTTTTCGCCATGTTTCCACCTTGCGCGCACAGTTTAAAACATTCTGTTGCATAATTTAATTCCGTATTTAATATATAGCTTTTATAACATTTGGAAACTATTGTGATCCAAAGATTCTAAGAATTTCATGTCAAATTTTTATTTTATGTGGAGTTGAGTTTATAAAATATATTTTATTAAAAAAAATCTGTAATGTTTTCGTCCATAACATTTTTTAATATTAAAATATTCATCAGATTGTTGGTTCAGTTAGAAAATAGTGCCCATATAAAGAATTCCATCAAATTTCAAGTATGTACCATTGTCCATTTATAAAATATCCTGCGCGCAAGGTGGAAACAGGACGAAACATTTTGTCACAAAGCGGATTAAAATTACAAAAATATTTGTGGCCACACAAACTTTCTGGTTACTAGTTTCTAAACCAGCTATATTATGTAGTCAGCTGTAAAAAGTTGGAAGTAATTGCTTTTAAAATAAGTAAAATATCCCAACTCTTGCAACAGTCACATATTCTAAGATCATAAGGGGTTTGAGGTGTATGAGCCCCCTTAAAATATTTTTAGTCCAAAGGGCGTTAGCACATAAGGGCTATGAGTTATTAATTTCGTTTTGGTATTTTGCGTCGAAAACTTTAAACGTTAGAATTGTTGCCACTAAATATTATTGCCCTCTATTATATTTAACGAAACAAAATAATCAAAAATCATAAATATATGTATGTTTCTCGCATTGTGATAAAACAATGGTATCTATGGTAAACAGCCATCCGATTTTTAATAACATACGTCTCCACTCGAATATGGGCATCTGGAAGCCCTAATTTGGAATTTGTTTCATTATCGATTTCATATGTTGTCAGGCATAACGAATTTTTTATTAAGAAACTCAACGATTTCGAAGCGAGCCATGGTAACACTGCACGGGAAAAAATTCATCTTCCAGCGCGCGAGACTGTGTATCAGAAATTCTAAAGATATAATGTTTTTAAATTATTTTGCGATATCACTGTTAATTTGAATTTTATTTCTAAGTGAGAAGAACATGATATTTAATAAAAGTAACACACAAAACTTTAAAAACATGATATTTAATAACAGCTTTACAGACTTTACATTATGGCCAAAGGGGCGTCCCCTTTGGCCATAATGTAAAGTCTGTAAGCTTTCAGATTTTTTTTTTATTTATTTCATCACGTGTGAGAATTTAAGTAACTTCTGTTTCAAAACGCATCGACATAAAAAGCTTTGTGTTACTAATGGGCAAAGTGTTTTGTGTTTCAAATTTAATCAGAAAGGTCTGCAATATAAAAGATGCGTGTCATTACTCGGTTAAGCATAAAAAATTTGTCTTTCGAATTTAATCAAAAAATGAAAAAGAAAAGAAATCTGAAAGAAATGTGTTGCCACTACATGAATTAAAATATTATCTTGCATGCGGTAGTGCATTGTCGTTCGGCAAAGCGTAAGATTGTATTCAACTTTTCCTTCGAGTTTATTCTGTTATTAATTAACAAACTAAGTGATTTAAAAGCAATAAATTCAGGTCCATTTCAGTTATTATTAATTACTAACTTGACGCATGAAATCCTATTATCTGGAGTTATTAAAATCATTATACCTATTTCTATCTTTTATAATAACTATGTTACGTGGTTGGCCGCTCAAGCGACTAGTTATCTAAAAAGAAAACGAAATCTTAGCAGTTTAAAGGAATTGAAGCGTTAAATTAAAAAAAAAATAAATAAATATTACTAAAAGTTAAGTACTTATCTTATAACTTTATGAAAAATCCGAATCTTTTTAAAGATTTAATTTCCTTCTTCGATTTTGTTTTCATGACTTGTTTCATGCAACTGAGTTGTTAAAAAAATTAAGCACATTATTGATACGGTGGTGGTAATATTACGATCCAATAATTAAAAATTTTCAAAGCGGGAATACACTTCAACGGAAAGGTCTCAGAAGGTAAACGTAAGTTTACATTCTACTTAAGCAAGATAAACCGATATTTTCGTTTTGGCTAAGTTCAACTGCGGCGAGCTTCTTCAGTGTGAATATGATGAATTATCAAGGAAAACGTTGATCAATCAAAATAAAAAGCAAATGCTTTTAAGGAGTGTTGGAGCCCAAAAATCTTCAAAAAATTGTCATTTTGGATTTTTACATTTTCAAATTCTCTACACTTTTATTTTTTTTTAAATACCATTCTTTAATCTTTATGAAAATTAGAATTGTAAAAAAATCTAGTTTTAATTTGTCATCGAATGCTTTGATCAATGAGGATTTTTACATAAAAACGCGTTTTTCTCCCAACGTGATTTTTTTTTATACTCGATGTACCTTTTCTCAGGAACTACTGCTCACAGGTATCTAAAATTTTTATGGATTATTTATTAGGTTTCCTAATATTTACTGAAATGAGCTTTTTGTGATAAACTAAGAAAACAAAATTAGCAATTTTTTTTTTGTGTGAGAAAAGTGCTAAATTTTACTATGCCTAACAAAATATTCTGTAAATTGCTCTAGAATTCAAAATGTTTCAAAAGCTTATTTCAGTACAATTAGATAGGTATACTTTAATCACACAAGAAATTTCAAGCGTGTATTTACAGCAGACTTTGAGAAAAGGTACATCAAAAATGACCAATTTAACAATGTCAATATAGGGGTTGCTGATACCCCTTAATCAAAAAACCCCCGAAAAATACACCCGAAAATTTTGTACTTGATATGCATCTTCTCTTTCTCATAACAGAAAGAAATTTGTTAGTATAGTAAAAATTTCTAGGATTTCTGGAATATCAAATAGAATAATTTTGATGAAATTCTGATAATTTTCTTTGAATTTCAGAATAAAAAGACTGATATGCGAAGAGTCATTCGAACTATAAGAGAATAAGTAGGGTAATAACTCCTTTTTCTTATCATTCATCGGATAAAAAAATACCTAAACGGGCATTTAATGAGCCATTTAACAATAAAAGCTTTTATCGCAAGCATGTTGGCGGAGGACTTAATCCATTTACGTAGCAGAAAGACTATCTTCCCACAAACAGCTTTTTTGAAAGAACTTAACAGTTAGGTACGAGAAGGTTAGGTGCGTTGCATGTAACACGCATTTGGCTGTCTCGTTAATAATATCTACCAGCTGCCAAGCGGTAAAAATTACTGAACACTGGTAATTCTGTCCGAGTTTCGAATCCCACGAACAGCTGGCTACATGGGCGTTTTCGTAGTTTTCCCCATGTATAGCGTGTTATACGAGCCAATTTCCCTTAGACAGACCTTCCCGAAGGCATCCCTCCTCTTAGGCAGATAGCTCTTTAGGCTTTGCCATAATCACATACACCTCTCATTAATCATACGGTTTCACTGCTAATTACTAGGTTCTTAAGCAGCATTTCGATTGCTATTACTATATGGTACTTTTAGATTTTCTTCGTACTCATTTTTCAGAATGGCAACAGTCTGGCGAGTTGGAGATAAAATGCTTTATTTCGAAAAGAGTTGCGACTGCTCGCTTTCAAATCGTAAAGTTTTTTAATCAAAAATTTGTAAGTTTTACGAAATCGATGTATATAATTTACAAAGAAGAATGTCAGTTTGCGTGTTTGTTCGCTTTATTGATTTCTCATCAATTAGGATCTATTTTTGAGCACACTTAATCGACCAAAATTAAATATAGGTGAAATATTGGACGGAACTGGAGCTTTTACGACCCTTTGATTACAAAGCCGAAAATCGTTCAAAACTGCGTGCCATTGTTGCTGATATAATGGGGAAGAGTTAGTTTGCTTTTCTATCGAATTTTTTACTTGCGTTCCCTGTCGCATCAGACGGACAAATGCACGACTATGAATCTTATTTTTTGCATCGTTATTGGAGATGGATTACAGCAGTATCGTTTCTCTCTGTTGTTAGACACATTACTCTTAGTCTAACTTAACTGGCATCAGGTACTTTCGCTGGTTATATAACAAAGAAAATAACATGGGTCCTGCTTACGGAGAATAATGGACTGTTTCATAACTAATACGGTGAGAGTAATACGTTGGCTGTTTTATTTTTCATTAAGAGTTTTTTAATAGCAGTAAAAGGGAATAAATTTTGGCGTTTTATGATTAAATTAAGGAGAAATCCTCTTCAAAAGCCTTCAAATACTTGATTTTGTACCAACAGAAGGTTGTCAAAAACAAACGAAACACAGGAACAACAGGAAGCCAAGTTCTG